CAACAAAGCGTACACGAATCTTATATCACAATTTACATATATTTGCTCATTTCACCCTCGTGACAACATACGTTTTAAAGATGAGAAAACTGAGGCACAGAGATAGATGACTGACCTAGGTCACTCACCCAGTAAGTCCAGTAAGACAAAGAGCTGAGATGTAAAGCCCTGGCCATCTGCAACCAAGGTCTCTGCTCTTAACACTGTACTATGTACCTCAAAAAGGGTTACCTAAAAACTTAGGTACCTAACAACTTGGATAACAATGGTTCATTCTTCTGTTTTTATCACCTATAAGGGAACCAAATGCGCCAGGATTTTATCTATTTTAATAAAATTTGGTACAAAAACCACCTACCTAGGACTTCTGCAAAAATCTACTCAATACGTGGTTACAGAATTTGACTTGGCTAAGGTTTAGGCAAAGCTAAATCTCACCAAAATTTCTCCCCCTTTAAGTAACTTGTATCAATAAGTAAACTGTAAGCAAGTAGACTGTACTCAGCGCCAGCTGCATAAGACTGGTTTTCTAGTGCCTCACAGAAGGAAGCATGCACACGAGCAACTGCCCAAATGAGTGTCTAGCTGTAAGGTATGCGAGTACAAAGAGGGGTCTTAATATGGAACTTCAGTTTTGACACGAAGCATCGAAATCACCCGGAGAACCACAGAAGAACAGAGGCTCAGGCTCAAAGGGCCTGGACTTCAGTGTTTACATATAAAGTTTCCCAGTAACTGCCACACAACCGAAGTATGCGAACTACTAATACAGAACGCTGTCCATTAATCAAAACAGTTATGAGGAGAAGTCATCTATTACTACTCAACTCCTTCTGATTAACTTGGAGAGAGATCTTATGGAACCTAGTATTTTATGAAGGTAAAAGGAAACACTATGCGCAGTAAATTGACCAGAACTGCGAAACACACTGAATAAATTTTTATAAATAACTCATAAATGAGAGAGAACATTTCCTGAAAAAAAGATTCACCCTTAAAAAGTTGTTTGGTATCCAATTACACAGACCACAAAAATCTAGAATTTTCGTTTCTCTACTTAAGGCAGAGAACATCTGCGTAGTGCAGTACTCACCC